GCTCCTGTTTCAAGAAAAAAAAAAAAAAAAAAAAAAGCTAGCCTTTCCCAAATTCATGATTTCAAAATCTTTTTTATGCAGAATATTTAATATCTTGACTATCACTGTTTAGAAAGTTTAGAAAGCACTGTTTTAAGAGGGTAGAAGTCATAGGAGAGTTGGCATATACCTTTGTTGTATTTCACTACCCAGATCAGAAGCCCCTGGTCCCTCTGTCTCTGGTTCCCCTATGTTTCCCCTGGAGATCCAACTCCAAAGTGGGAAGACCAGTAGAGAACCTGAGCTTGGCACTGGCCCACAGGCGAAGGAGTCAGCAACTGTCTTAACCCCATCACCTATAAGCCCCACAAGAAGACGAGCCCTGGATCATTACCTTACCCTTAGAAGGTGAATATGCCAAATCACTTTCCTCAGATTTTCTCTTTTCTGACTCTCCTTTCTTCAAACTTATTCAATTATTTTTTCTTATTGCCACCAACTTTTTAATAAACTTCTTTCTTGACAAATTCTCTTTTTTCTGATGTTTCCAGTTCTGGATGGATCCCAGATGGACGAGGTCGATGGGTAAAAGATGAAAATGTTGAGTTTGACTCTGATGAGGAAGAACCTCCTGATCTCCCTTTGGACTGACACTTTCTTTACCCATTCATTCCCAAATAAACTATAACAGGTGCTGGAAACCTAACTTTCCTCGTGTCTGGTTGTAGTCCAATCTCAAGATTTCAGATCTGTTCATTCTCAGCATGGTCACTCCTTCCCTGCAATGTACATAGCTTCCCATATTTCTTTTTTTTTCTTTATCCTTTTTTTTTTTTTTTTTGAGACAGAGCCTCAAGCTGTTGCCCTGGGTAGAGTGCCATGGCAGCACAGCTCACAGTAGCTCCAACACCTGGGCTTACGTGATTCTATTCTCTCAGCCTCCCAAGTATCTGGGACTACAGGTGCCCACCACAATGCCCAGCTATTTTTTGGTTGTAGTTGTCATTGTTTGGCAGGCCTGGGCCAGATTTGAACCCGCCAGCTCTGGAGCTACAGGCACCACTCAAGCTCCCCATATTTCTAACCCTTCCCCCACCTTCTACCAAAGTCATGCCAAGCGTCAGCTGCATGTAGCTCGGTGCCCTATTAATAAGTCAGTCAAAAAGAGGTCTTTGCCCTTTATGGTGTCTGTCTCCTTCCCCACCTCCACTCAAAAAGTACTTTCCTCTTTCATATCACATGAAGCTACTGGGTAGGAATGGGGGCAGTGGGGGTGGCCACATCTGTAAACAGGGTGAGGCTAAGTGCCCTGTGAAAGCAGGAGAGACTAAAGGCATTGGCAGAGTTATGGGAAACACCAAGGGAGGGAGCTCCCCCACCCACCTCCTAGTAACCTGAACCTCCCTGCCTGCTGATCCCCAGAGTATAAATAATCCCCTGATGAACTGGCAATAACCCTTGGGGGTTATCGCCAAGATTCCCACCCCAAAGCCCAAGGAAGGAGGCAGGCAGAGTGAACAGAAGGGCTTTTATTTACAGGAAAGGGGGATAAATGAGGGTTTAAGTGTCCATCGCTCCCAGCTCTAGTTGGTAAAGCGAAATGCAGTGTGGCAGTGTTATCTCTTCTTTTGCTGGCGACCTGTAAAGGAGGAAGAGTAAACGTAAGTATTTGTTCTAGCTCCTGATCTCTGCAAAGGCATTCTCCTTTCCAGTTCCTTAGCCAGACTCATAAAGTGGTAGTGTCTTACGCCACCTGACAGGCCCAGGCACCCCATACAACAAGAAACCATACCACAAAACACCACACCTCCCAACAGGCATTATTACATCTAGTTTCCTTTCCACATCTCTGCTGCTCATACATATTGGGGCAGGGATACTTTTCCATCTATTTCCTGATCTCTCATGGGATTTGAACTTGTATCTCTTTGGTGGCATCCCAGGCTGTTGGTCACTATGTCTGCTTTCAGGAGGATCCACCCCTTTCTGTACTTGTTCTCTCCTCCACACGCCATGTCTGCAGTTATTCACATAGTTCTTTTTTTTTTTTTTCTCCTCGCAATTTTTGGCCAGGGCTGGGTTTGAACCTGCCACCTCCAGCAAAAGGGGCCGGCACCCCACTTCTTTGAGCCACAGGCGCTGCCCTACTCACGTAGTTCATTGTTCCTGGTCATGGCCTGGGCTGCCCGAGCTCGTGGCCCCTGCTGTGTAAAGTGGTAGCCAAAGCGGACAATGGAGGGACACTGCTCTAGTACAGTGGCCATCTCCATCTCTACTGCATCACCAGGCCATTGACGCTGGGGGAGGGAGAGACAAAAACTGTTAGTCACCCTCTCTGGGTTGTTCACTGTCCCACACCACACATCCCCTAGGGGCTCCAGAGCGGGTGAAGGGAGGCACTGACTTGGCTCCCCTTGTAGAGACAACTAAGAGGAGACTTCAAAGAAGGTAAGATGCAGCTGTCCCAGGGGCAGGCTCTGGTAAGGGGTTAAATGAGCATTAGCTGAATGCTAAGGCCAAGGGAAGGGAACGCTGACCTGGTTGTCTACACGGAGCTCAGTGAGTGTGGCATTTTCCCGAACTGCTTTCAGCACAGCCATAAGCCCTGTGCTGCTAATGAAGTTGGATTCGATGTTCAGGCTCTGGAGGCTACGATTCTCACGTAACATGTCAGCCACCGCCTGGGTAGTAGGGACTTGAGTTAGGATTAGGGAGTTTTACAGATGACTGAGGAGAGAAAGAGCAGGCGCAAGAGGGAAACACAGCTCTTTGAGAAGAGTTGTGGAGGGGCTGTAAGTGGGGCTAGAGGGAGACAGAAATGCGGGTACGTACTAGGGGAATGCAGGTGCGCTGGAGTTGAGGGTGTTAGACAGGGTTGTAGCCCTTTGGGAAAATGATCTCAGGATTTCAGAGTTGTTAGCCATAGGACTGAGGGTAGGAGTCTCTAGGAGGGCTGCCCTAAGAAAGCATGATGGGATTAGCACCCCCAACACAACCCTTTATAACAGCCCTGCTAGGGATGTGGGCAATGTGTGGGGAGAGGGCTGGGGATGTCAACTAGCCTTACATTGGCGATGGGGTCACCACTCCTCGTGGCCACCAGACTGAGGTTTCGAACATAGGTATTTGTCTTCATTGCCTCACACAGCTCACTTAGCATGGGTATCGGGATATCCTGTCAGAAGAGAATAGGAAAAGGTGGGCTAAAGGCTCTCATCTCCTAGTTATCCTGGGGTTACTTACTGTTTGGAGAATGGGAGTCAAAATACCTGTATGTTATTGAGGTTCACCTCCTCCAGCTCCTTGTCATTGCTTCGAACTCTCTTTAGTATCTCCTCAATGTTTGTGGGATTTGGGGGCTCATCTGGCACTGGCTTATACTTGTCAGGCTGTACCACACCTAGTGGGGGAGGGCAGGAAGGGAACCCCAAGATGTCCCCCAGTCTCCTCCCTATGGGTTCTCTTATCATTCATGCAACGTGTCCTCCCCTAAATTCACTGTGTCATTCTTTGCTACCTTTGCCCAGACTCCGACAGTGCCTGCCCAGTACCCTAGCACCTGTGCCCCCCAAACACTCACTGCTAATGCCTTCTGTGTTGCAGATCTCCCCACTGCAGATGGCGTCATAGTACTGCTTGTTGCTCATCAGCGTGTACATGCCTAGAATTGCTGGAGAGGGTAAGCAGAAGGGCACAGGGAGTGAGAAGAAATCTGTTCCAAGCCCCTACCTACTGCATTTTGAATCTATTTTTTTTTTAATTTTTTTGCAGTTTTTGGCTGGGGCTGGGTTTGAACCTGCCACCTCTAGCATATGGGGCTGGCGCCCTACTCCTTTGAGCCACAGGCACTGCCCTTTTTTTTTTTTTGAGACAGAGTCTCACTTTGTTGCCCTTGGTAGAGTGCTGTTGCATCATGGCTCACAGCAACTTCAAACTCTTGGGCTCAAGCAATTCTCTTGCCTGTTTCTCATTTTTAGTAGACAGGGTCTTGCTCTTGCTCAGGCTGATCTCAAATTTGTGAGTGCAAGCGATCCATCCACCTCAGACTCCCAGAGTGCTAGGATTATAGGCGTGAGCCACTGCCTAGCCCTGCTTTTTTTTTTTTTTTTTCTGAGATGGGATCTCTGGTCTCGCTGTAGCTCAGGTGATCCACCTGCCTCAGCCTCCCAGAGTACTAGGATTACACACATGAGCCATGGCTGTCTGGCCAGAAGCTGCTGCATATTTAAAGCCTGACCCCTTCCACTCTTCCAAAGAGGTTTTTCCACCCTCCCCCAGCCCCAGGGGTCTCTTCCATAAACACTGGCAAAGTGCCAAAGAAAAATCCCCAAGGAGCCACTAGAGGGTAAGAGTGCAGAGACCCCCTCCTAACTTCAGCCAGAATAGTCCACTATTATTTGCTTTTACAATCCCTGTAAAATTGCTTAAGATACCAACTTACCAAATTTAAAAAATGAACATATAAACACATATGTAAGAGAAACAGAAACCCATTCCCTAAGACTTTCTCAGACATCCATATCCTGGTTCAGGGGCTTCCTCAACCAGACCATGTCATGGCTAGGACCCCCTTCCCCACATCCTCTCATTCCCCAGCTTCCCACAACTGCGCACCTGCAATATCACACATTTCCGCATCAGTGGCGTGTGCCAGCGCCTCCTCCAGCTCAGGCTCCAGGGTGATCTGCTCCTGTGCTGGGATTTCCCTCTTGGGCTGAATATAGGGTTTCCCTAATGAAGAGGTGAAGGGTGGTTCAGGAAGAAGTCGTTTCCCCCAATATCCCACCCCCAGCTTCCTTCCCTTATCCAGGAGGTAGAGAATGCTGGGTCACTAGGTAACACTAGAATGCCTGAGTCCTGTACAATCTTTTTTTTTTTTTTTTTT